GTTTGCTGAGATATCACTACATTTAGTGAATCAAACACAGAGGCCCTGCTCACCTCTTTCCATTTTTGGAAATGCTTACACCTACTTCTTTCTATGATATGTGAATAACCAATTGAAAACTCAGAATATCCCCCTGGTGGTTTTCTCAGTCTCATGAAGGTGGGAAGGTCCCAAGATTATTTCTTTATCTTGAATCAAAGAAGGAAGTGGTAAGTGAAAACATTGTTCAAAAAACAGTGTTTTTTCACTCAAATACAGTTTAGTTAGTAAGCCTGATAAATTACAGTGGAATTCTGCAATATTGATAGAATAATTTATAATATTTGGTTATTTCAAAATGCTTATATAAAACCTTTAAAAAATTATTTTGTTTTATATCCTTCACATGCAAAATTTGACAAGGCTTAGCAAATTACAGCAAGAGGGCAAATCAAACGATTACAGAGTTTGTAAGTAGAAAAAAATCATTGTTTTCTTTATTTACTGTTCTATGTTTTAAGAAAAATAACTGAAATTTTAGAACTTATTTGTAAATAGTAATAATACATATGCATATGTAATGGATTATAATCAAAATGTGACTGTATTTTTCAAAATACAGGTTCATTAGAACAAAGCCAAGACAGGTGACTTTGCAAAGGCCAGTTTTGTACTATTGGATACAGTAACATGACTGCATGTGCACCATGTCATTGCAACTTCTGTAATGTTAGTTAGGCATGGTTGAAAGACCAATGAAATAAAAATAAATAAATATATATAGATGTATAATGTTATGAGATTTAAGCTGCTTAGACTAAACATTTGTGGTTTCTTGTTATAATTTGTTTTCACTCTAGAATGAAAAAAGTGCAATTTATATCTATTTCCTACTTTTTAATTTTAGTTATGAAGTCACTCAAATTTACAAAACCCATACAGAGGTACAATAACAGATAAAATATAAAGTTATTTCTAAAGTTATAAAGACTTTGCATGTGAAATTGAACAATTTTCTGATGCATAAAAGTATTTTTAATCTTAAAATCAAAATTAATTTGTATGTTGGATAGTCAACATTCGAAAAGAAGAAAATGCACGAGCAAATCATTACTTAAAAAATCTTAAAACTTAAGAAAAAAATCTGATATTTTGTGTACTAAAGCCTTGTAATGTTTACTTATAGTCTGAAAAATTTTGTGAAGATGTGCTTACTGTATTAAAAGTTATAGTATGAAAACTGTAACAAGCACAAAATGATTATGAGCTTGTAGCAAGAGAGTTAAGTAAAGTCGATAATCAAGAATCCAAAACTTGGAGCCTTTCAACACCTTATATATCAGCTGTGTCACAATACTTTAGGTTTCCTATCACTACAGAAAATGGCTTGACAGAACTCATCAACAATAACACTGTGTGCAAGCTGTGCAGAACAAATCTCAAATGTATAGGGGGGGTGGTTGTGAATACAACAATCTTGTCAATGCACATGTGCCGGCATCATTCAGGAGTTGAGTTGCAGGAAGTAGAAAGGATACCAGTGAAAGGAACTGTCATATTTTATATTTACTGAAATAAAACTAACATTTGGAACAGGTTTTTTTAGGAGAGATTGTAACTGTTTTAAATGCAAGTAAGTGACATATTCTCTATTGGAAAATATATGTGCTTTTGTTGAAATTACTTTTATATGTTGATCTAAAATTACTTTTAGGTCACTTACTCTAAAACAGAAATGTGGGGGAGTTTTTGTGCATTATGATACATATATCATATTGTGACTTGTGAGATACAATACATATTGTATCATGGGTCTAGTGCATCATCTCACCCCTACATAGGAGTCTTGCTAGTATGTGTGTAAGAACTAGAAAATATATTTTAATAATAAGCAAGAACACTTAATATATGTACAAGGTGATGAAAACCCCATGTTTAATCATTTTCCCAGGATAAATAAATTTCACCAGAATCACATTGAGAATCATAATTTTGGAAAGACTGGACATGGTACATGATGTTTCAAAAATATTTTGTTCAAAATGCTTTCTGTCATTCTCAACATATTAAACCTATCCCTAGATCTTAAATGCAAATATCATCTGTCTTTGACAGTATTCATTGATCCTTGTATTATCTTGTATGCTGACAGTGCATTTAATTCAAATCACCAATTTTGTATTGTTAAAAAGGAAAAAGAAGAGACAAAAATCAATGCTAGTTTGCAAGAAAAGTAATTTTGGTATACAGTATAATATGGTTTTGAAACATTCTGTACCATGTACAAACTTCCATGAATAGCTTTTATGGTAAAATTTAGTTTTCCTAGGACAAGTAGTTTTTATGTTGTAATCATTTTAAATATGGAATTTTTCTTTACTTTCAGCCCATATACAAGGATTAATTGCATAAAACGTTTATGCAAATATTCAGTATGTCTGCATGGCCATCCCCACCTCCATTGTGATATGTAAAATTTATAACTTAACACTATACTAACTAATGTAATAATTGTTTTGTTGTACTATATTTGGTATATATGGTTTGAGTACAAGTACCTTCATGCCATTACTAAGTACCACCTCTAAAACCATATGCTTCTTGGTACATTTTGTATTTCTTAACTCTGTACATACAGGCTTGGTTATTTTGGCCAACATTGTAACAAGCACATAACCATGAAACTGTACATATTATGACCGTGAAAGTACCAAGTACATCTTCATGAAATGTAGAAGCTTTTAGTAAACATTACAAGTCTGTTGTACACAAAAAAATCAGATTTTTAAATAAAGTATTTTAACTAAAAATATGTCTATGAATTCATGAAGTCAGTCTGACTCAGATTCTGATTAGTCTGAATGCTAAAAATAAATATATTTCTTTTCATCTTACAGTTTTCATATCTTCATAACCTCTTGAACCTCTTAACCTTATCGCCCTGGGTACCCTTTACTGTGCATGACACAAGGTTTTAGTGTTTTACATTAAAATGTTATT